GTGGCAGGATGACAGTAAAACATGGAGTGAGCCGGGGGATTGGACTGGTGAATGTGTTAGGGAAAAGGCATTGACATGTGGTAGAAACAGAGAAGGGCTTTCCAAGGTTGAGTTTTTAAAACTACCAGATCATACTGTTGTGTTAGAAAATAAAAAGAGTAGGAGTGAGTGTGAATCTGAGTGTCTTCATAACTGCTCTTGCAAAGCGTATGCTTGTGCACATGTGGCACAGGGAAGGCCTATGAGGTGCATAACATGGTATGGTAGCTTGGTGGATTCTGTACAGAATCAAACACTTCCTATTCGTGTTTGTGAGGATGGCTCCAAGGATTTTCAAGGCATGTCGATTAATTTTGTTTCTTTTTTCATTATTAAACAAGCAAAATCAATTCTTTTGGCTAGAAAGTTACCATAATTACTAACTTGGAGCCTTTTCATTCTTTTCTTTGCAGGTGGTAAGGGTAATGCTAAAAATTTCTTCAAGAAGCGGTGGGCTGTAATTGCAATTGCAATTGTCTCAGCAACAACAGGATTGCTTGCAGCAATTTTTGGATATCTTTTATGGAAGAGAATTTCGAGAAATGAAGATAATGGTAGTGCTGGAGGTGGAAAGGATGGTACAGAACTACCACTTTCGGGTTTAAAGAGTATACTAGCTGCAACAAACAACTTCTCTGAAGCTAATAAACTTGGAGAGGGAGGATTTGGCCCCGTTTATAAGGTGAAACTTCCTTAATTACATTGTTCTTCATAAATATGACATTAAATTTGTCTACTTCTCTTTAAAAAATTTCCATTAATATCTTTCTCTGCAGGGGATTTTGCCTAAAAATGAAGAAGTAGCCATAAAAAGGTTGTCGAAGAAGTCAGGGCAAGGACATGAGGAGTTCATGAATGAGTTGAAGCTTATAGCCAAGCTCCAACATACCAATCTTGTTAGGCTCTTGGGTTGCTGCAATGAAGAGGAGGAAATGATACTGATTTATGAATACATGCCCAATCGAAGTTTGGACAAACTTGTGTTTGGTATATACATGTTCATCACCTTTGACATATTCTTTGATGTTGTTGATTTCCTGGACATCAAATTTGATTAGCTAATTTTTGCAACATCTTTTTTAATGTATTGTTTATTCAGAGATCCATATGAAAAGATAAAATTGGATTGGGGTAAACGGTTTCGAATCATAGAAGGCAATGCTCTAGGAGTACTTTATATCCACAAGTATTCCAGATTGAGAATCATTCACAGGGACCTAAAAGCAAGTAATATACTGTTGGATGGAGAAATGAACCCAAAAATTTCAGATTTTGGAATGGCAAGGATTTTTGGGATGAACCAAACTGAAGCAAATACCGACAGGGTTGTTGGGACATAGTAAGTAGACATATATAGCACATGTTTTTGCATTATTCATGTAAACCTGATGATGCAAAATGTTAGTCTTTAATTGTTGTTGCTTACTTTGTCTACCATTATAATTCATGTGCAGCGGCTACATGTCACCTGAGTATGCACTCTTGGGTAATTTTTCTGAGAAATTGGATGTGTTCAGCTTTGGAGTGTTGATTTTGGAGATTGTAAGTGGAAAGAGGAATTCTTCTTTTCATCGTTTTGATCCTACGCTAACGCTTACTGGTTGGGTAAGTATATATAAACTAGAAATTATTCTAGCTAGTATGTATATGTCGTCCTTCTTTTTTTAATCCTTTCAAGTTTGCAATTAAAGTGAATGGTCCTAATGAAATCTTAATTAGGCATGGGAATTTTGGAAAGAAGGCAGAGGAATGGAGGTGTTTGATGAATCAGTAAGGGAAGCATGTGACACTCATGAAGCTCAAAGGTGTATCCATGTAGGGCTTTTGTGTGTTCAAGAAGCTCTAGCCGATCGGCCAACAATGTCTTCTGTGATTAGTATGCTGCAGGGCAACGAAGCTGCATCACTTCCACCCTCCAAAGAACCTGCCTTTTCATCAGCTCATAGGAATTCCATTGCTATCGGCTTCTCCTCAAACATCTCCCATTTTTTCCAACAATTATGTAATCACCATTAGTTCGGAAGTAGGCAGATAGACTTCCTTTTGTTCAGCACATATATAATTATTGTAGAATAACTAGCATGCAGCAGATTGACAAGCGCAAGCCAACAAAAACATGTTCGAGCTTCTTATAGCAGTGGATTATGTTAGGTGAAAATAGCCTTCTAAGGTTTTAGTCAATTTCGTGCAATTTAATATTTTTTTTGTTTTTTTTTGGTTTAATAATTATTCTTGAAGCCAAGGTTTTGGTTTAAGTATTTACTTTATTAAACCCTGGTGTTAGATTACATTTTTTTGATCATTTAGATATTAGGTGCATTATTATGAAATATGCTACTCATATTGTGTGACCAAGTAGCATTGCAAGTCAAATCTTTGTGACCGACATTATATAGTTGAGAGGGCTTTTACAATTACCACGTTTGGCCGCGCAGACTCATCACAAAGAAAAGTTACAGTTTCAGTATAAAGGAAAATATGAGACATGAAAAGTTAAAAGTTTACTTAAGGAGGACAAAGGGACTAATTACAGCCTCAACAATGCTTTAATTATCTACCTTCTTCTAGACTTGTAGTTATTTCGGCAATTGTTTCTGGCTTAGTAGAAGGAGAAGCTCTGCTGGAATTGTTCCTTAAGAGAAAGGCTGGTTGTTTAGGAGTTGGAGAGATTGCAATTTCACTGTCAAGCATGGTAAGAACATTTGACATGGCGGGACGGTCAACAGGGTCTTCTTGCACGCATAAGAGCCCAACATTGACACAGTTAATAAATTGACTTTTGTTGCAACTTTCATCCAAAGTCTTGTCCATTAGCTCCAAAGCCTTGTTTTCTGTCCACAGTTTCCATGCCTGAGAAAATGTTGAAATTTCAATATGGTTAAAGTATAAAAATGGGGTTATAAAATAAAGGGTATGTATACGAAAGATTCAACCACCACACTTACATAACTTATGAGGCTGAAAGTTTGTTGGGATTGATAAAATCCTGTGTTCTTTTTTCCACTGATTATCTCAAGAAGAACCACACCGAAGCCATACACATCTGATTTCACTGAGAAAGTTCCATCTAATGCATACTCCGGAGACATGTAACCACTACATCACAAATTATAATAACAGTTTGTAAAATATGCAGGCACCAAAGCACTTCCCTCTAAAATGGTCAAGGAATTAAAATTTCAAATTTGTGCTACAATGTATGAAATATCCACCCTGAAATTTAAACCGTCCACACGAAACTTACTAAGTTCCAATTACTGTGTTTGTACTCGACTCAGTTTCTTTGCCTCCAACAATCCTCGCCAAGCCGAAGTCAGATATTTTGGGGTTCATCTCGTCATCTAAGAGAATGTTGCTGGTTTTCAAATCTCTGTGAATGATCCTCAATCGGGAATCTTGATGAAGATAAAGAAGTCCTCGAGCGATTCCCAAAATGATGTTGAAGCGCATCTCCCAATTGAGAACCATGCTTTTTGTATGATCTGCCAAAGTTTCCATTTTCCATTAGAGAAAGGAGCTCTGGTAATCAAGAAACCATATATCATGCAGTAAAAAAAAATACTGAAATGAGGACTAGGAACAAACCAAATATATAGAAGTCTAGACTTTGGTTAGGCATGTACTCATAGAGTAAAAAAATTTCTTCTCCTTTGATGCAAAATCCTTACAAGGTTTCGGTGTTGAAGTTTGGCAATCAGCACCACCTCATTCTTAAATTCCTGTAAGCCTTGTCTTGAAGCCCTTGATAACCTCTTTACCGCAAGTTCTTGATCTCCAAGAAACTTGCCCTGGCAACAAAATTCCCTTTCACATCAATTTACAACTAACCAGAACAAATCAACATAATGAAAAACAATTTTCTAGGGACAAAGTATTGCTCAGGTGGTTCAGTTGCAATGATTTGGCAAACAAGTATTCCTGAATTACCTTGTAAACAGGTCCATAGCCCCCTTGTCCAAGTTTGTTTGCATTTGAGAAATTATCTGTAGCATCCAGTATGCTTTGCAAATCGAAAAAGGGTACATCTATATCTCTCTCATCTTCCTCCGTGAACTCAGTTGTGTCCATCAACTCTTGAACTCGTCTTTCACTATCAAGTTGTGCTCGATTTATTTTATCTAATACATGGAATTGAATAATTTTATTTTCATGCTGTCATTCAATAGGACCAATTCTGCAGATGTTCAGTACAGAGTGCATATAGCAAAGCAGTTACGTACCTCGTCTCTTGGTTGTCTTCCTTCTCCATATATAAACAAAAACAATGCATGCCAGAAAAATCACAATTGTAAGGACTGCCACAACTATCAGTATCAGAGAAAACGACATTTTTCTTCTAGATTGCTCTTTTGACTCTGGAAAATTACCTTCTACAAGAAAGCAAGGGGATACATGTGAGTTTTCATCATACAATAAGCTTATTGAGTTAACAATGTAAAATGGCAAATTCCAGTGATAGTAAGTCAAATAACTAATTGGATTTATAAGTCCAATTCTACTTGGTTTTATTATTTTCCAATTATAATTTCTACTCAATCTAAAAAAAGATAATTGATTACTATATGAATTCCCATAACACAACGATATTCCAAAAAGAATTTTGGAAATCATAGGAAAGACCTTATGAATTTATGGGATTTTGCTTCCTTATATTTTCCCTTGTAAGCAAGCAGGATTCATCATCAGCCTCAGTTTTGTCTCAGTAGAGTGATGAATCCAACAATGCACTTACAACAGGCTAAGGGGGTTGAACATCACAGTTGATTACAATAAGGAGAAATATTGAATAAGTCATTCAGCTAAAAATAATCTCAATGAACTAATCCTTCTTAGCAATACCATTATCTCAACATCGCAGCAGGACTAGTCTTGACTCTAAAAAAATATTGATTTGCAGCAAGAGGCGCACATGCATCAGCAAACTTTTATGCCTAATATGACTTTCTCACCTCGAGTACAATTTAAGCCATTCCACTGAAAATTGGAATTGCAAAGGCATTTTTTCTTTCCATCTCTAGCTGGAGTGCAAGTTGAATGTGGCCAATCCCTACAGTCTGCGTACAGCTTGGTTCCGTCAGCGGCTCCCAACCCAACTCTACTGCATTAAGGTTGGCATTGCACCAATTGATCACCTTAAATGGCAGTGACAGGTTGAGCTGCTGACTTTTGGATGTGTTCCTAGGATCACAATTATCCACATCTTTTTCTCGGATGACAAATCTTCGTGTACTTGGGCTGATGCTAATAACTCTAAACGAGGATTTATTCTGTCCCACGAACCTAACCAGGCCTGTGCTGGTGTTGCAGTTGAAACGGAAGTACATGGGGTCACCGCAATCCGATCCAGTGCTGAGGGGATAAGGAATGACGGTTGTGCCACAAGGCTTGCAGTCTCTTACGGTTGATTCTGCACAAGATGTAATTTTTTGACTATCATAACGAACTAAAAAATTAGCGTTAACCTCATGCTTCTGCAATCATGCTCACATGTAAAAGCTTAACATAGAATGCTTCTAGTATCTAACAGACTGCTTAGTTGTGTATGTGTGTAGAGTTTGTTACTGTTACGCACATATGACATCCCTCATCCTAACTGAGGTGATTTAAACTCTCACTCTCTTACATCTTTTTTCAACTGTAGAAGTAGTTTGGTGAAACAAACCAACAACTGCATATATTCCATCATAATCCAAAATTAAACAGAGAAATGCAATACCTAAGGCAACTCGAACAGAGAGGTCATGGCCACAATGTCCATACTCTTATTCGAGATTATTTAGATCCCTCAACCATATCCAGCACAAGGAAGTAGCAGTATAATCCCTTCTGGCGCTGTTTACACCTGCAACATATGAGAAAGCCTGGCACTGGCAGTTATTTAAGCACTCGTTCCTGCATCCTGTTTCATTGTCAACATTGATGCGTGTGTCTGGTTTTCCCACATTCATCATCTTCAATCTCAAGAAAGTGTCCTTGCTACATATTGTCGACTCCCTTTCACATCCACCTGAAAAGTTTCCAGTTTCCCATTGCTCTGCAAACTGGGGTTTAAAACCTGGCAAACATTTGCACACCAACGGCCAATTATTACTGTTACAGCTGCCAAAGTTCCCACAAGCATTAAACACACTGCATCGATCTCTTGGCTCCGGCGACCAAATCGAATTCCACTGATTCATTTGTTCAACCCAGACCAGAAACTGTATCTTTCCATTAAAATTCATCACCATTCTTTGATATATGATTTTCAATATTGTTACATGTTTAAAATTATAATAATTATATCCTCGACCTATAGGTATGGCAGGACTCTTGCTGAAATTTGATAACCGATCAACTACATAAGAAGGCATTTCAGTTGAGGTGCAAAACTCACCTGGCTTTCTACAAAACTCACCTGGCTTTCCACTTGTCCAATCAGGAATTAATCTTCTTGAAATAACAAAATGATTGTCTCCTTCTTGATCTAGCTTGAAGGTGAATCTCCCAATCCCTGGGTCATCTTGGTCTCTCCATGAAGTCAGTTCTATGTTTGTATCCATCACCATCCCAGGAATGAATGTATCCGTTGCGTTTTGAAAGCTCTGCCACAAATCATCATCACCATCCCTAAACAACACCAGATTCCCAGAATCCATAAGCCTCACCACCAAATTTGAAGACTTGGGTGTTTGAAGCTCTGTTGACCAATAAGACTCATCAGTAAAACTATCCAACACTTGGAGGTTGTTAAGAAGGTCAATGATTTCCTAATGTTCACAGGATGGATTAGGAAACAAATATGTAATTACGTCACTACTACAAAAATCGAAATAGACGACGGGAAACCACCGTCGCGTAAAAGGTTTTTGCCCGGTCGTGAAATCGACTGCCGTCTATTTGGGTTTCAAACTACGACGGCTTTTCACCGTCGTTGTTTATCAGTAAAGATGACGGTTTTTAAAGAAAATCGTCGTTGTTTAGAGGTAAAGATCGTTAATTATAGGAGGAAAGACGACTGTTTTTAATAAAACCGTCGTGTATTGTATGTAAAGATGACGATTTTTTTATGAAAACCGTCGTGGATTGTTTATAAAGACGTCATCTTTACATACAATCGACGACGGTTTTTTTATAAAAAGCGTCATCTTTACGTACAATAGACGACGTTTTTTTTATAAAAAGCGTCATCTTTACGTACAATAGACGACGGTTTTTTATAAAAAGCGTCATCTTTACGTACAATAGACGACGTTTTTTTTATAAAAAGCGTCATCTTTACGTACAATAGACGACGGTTTTTTTATAAAAAGCGTCATCTTTACGTACAATAGACGACGGTTTTATAAAAAGCGTCCTCTTTACATACAATAGACGACGGTTTTTATAAAAAAGCGTCATCTTTACGTACAATAATGCTTTTTGATTTCCTATGATGCTATACAACGATTTTAACTAGAAAACCAACCATAATGCTTTATCAAAAATAGTTTCTTTCATAAAACTTGAAGATTCAATAGTTATTACATAGTTAACCAATCTTTATTCTACAACAAACATAATTCCTAACAAGACCTACGTACTCCTAATCCAAGCATTCCTCATCCAAACATACAAATGATGCACAACTGAAGTCTCCTCCATCATCCCTGTAAATAAATCAAAATGACAAAGAGAAAAAAAAAAAGCTAAGATTATAAACATAAAAAATTAGGTGGAAGAGAAATTTTACCATTGGTCCATATTTCCATAGAAAACTTGTAAAATGAGCATAAAAAAGACCATCGAGAACCTGCAAATTTTCAACAACAAAAAAACATACGTCTCACATAGAAAACCTGCAAAAGAAAAAGTTATAAATCTGCAAGCTTCCTCCTCATCTCCTGTTAACCAAATCAGAAAATCTAAAAAGAAACCAGAAATAAATAAAAAAATATGTAAACAAATCAGACAAATCAAGAAAGACAAAATCTGAAATTAGGGATACAAAGAACATACCAAAAACGCAAAGAGACTAATCCAGAATTCACTAGCAAGATATAGAAGGGTATTAAGAGATTAGGTGACTTTCAAATCAACCTTTCAACCAGCTTTGATTCTCAAATACAGAACATCCCTCTACATCTTATGGATTTGCTAAGACCTCAATCTCTCAACTCCTTCATTGATATCGATCTTTTGATGATTTTGTAGAGAGTTTTATGAGGGTGTTTTAGAGAGTGCATGAGGGTTTCAAGGAGGGAGAGATAAGGTTTTCAGAGACGGGGGAAAATCTGAAAATTTGACAAGCGCGAATTCACTTAAGTAGACTTTTTTTAGCGTGTTTTAAAAGACGACGCTTGTTAATGAGAGATAAGATTTTCAAAGACGTGTGAAAATTTGAAAATTTATCGAGCGCGAATTCACTTAAGCGGCCATTTTTTAGCGCGTTTTAAAAGACGACGCTTTTTTTAAAAAAAAATTTGTCATCTTTACATATAATATACGACGGTTTTTTTTATAAAAAGCGTCATCTTTACATATAATAGACGGCGGTTTTTATAAAAAGCGTCATCTTTACATACAATAGACGACGGTTTTTTATAAAAAGCGTCATCTTTACGTACAATAGACGACGGTTTTTATAAAAAGCGTCATCTTTACGTACAATAGACGACGGTTTTTATAAAAAACGTCATCTTTACATACAATAGACGTTTTTTTCCACTACACTTCTTGACCCTATATGAATACAATGATTGAATTTGATCTTCAATTTAAAATATTTACACTAGTGGATACCACAAAATCTTATGTCATATTTAACGAAAGTATAAATAAACTCTTAATTGTTAGTGAATATATTGTTTTGATGGCATACGCATTCTAAGAAACTAGTTTCAATGATCCAACCGTCAAACATGTTTGTTTATGCTTCGAGATCATATACGCCAAAAATCGGAAAAAATAAACATTCAGAGATCAAGTAACGAGACAAAAAATTTCAACGGTTATAAATGAAAAATCATGATTTAACGGTTATTTTAACTCCGATTTTGATGATTTTTTACCGCTACACTCCTTGACCCAATATGAATACAATGATTGAATTTGATCTTCAATTTAAAATATTTACACTAGTGGATACCACAAAATCTTATGTCATATTTAATGAAAGTATAAATAAACTCTTCAATGTTAGTGAATATATTGTTTTGATGGCATACGCATTCTAAGAAACTAGTTTCAATGATCCAACCGTCAAACGTGTTTGTTTATACTTTGAGATCATATACGCCAAAAATCGGAAAAAATAAACATTCAGAGATAAAGTAACGGGACAAAAAATTTCGACGGTTATAAATGAAAAATCATGATTTAACGGTTATTTTAACTCCGATTTTGATGATTTTTTACCGCTACACTCCTTGACCCTATATGAATACAATGACTGAATTTGATCTTCAATTTAAAATATTTACACTAGTGGATACCACAAAATCTTATGTTATATTTAACGAAAGTATAAATAAACTCTTAATTGTTAGTGAATATATTGTTTTGATGGCATACGCATTCTAAGAAACTAGTTTCAACGATCCAACCGTCAAACTTGTTTGTTTATACTTCGAGATCATCTACACCAAAAATCGAAAAAAATAAACATTCAAAGATAAAGTAACGGGACAAAAAATTTCGACGGTTATAAATGAAAAATCATGATTTAACGGTTATTATAACAAACCATCATCTTTACATATAATAGACGACCATTTTTTATAAAAAAGCGTCATCTTTATATATAATAAACGACCCTTTTTTTTAAAAAAAATTGTCATCTTTATATATAATAGACGACGGTTTTTATAAAAAGCGTCATCTTTATATATAATAGACGACCCTTTTTTTATAAAAAGCGTCATCTTTACATATAATAGACGACGGTTTTTTCGGTTTTTATAAAAAGCGTCATCTTTACATACAATAGACGACGGTTTTTTCGGTTTTTATAAAAAGCGTCATCTTTACATACAATAGACGACGGTTTTTTCGGTTTTTATAAAAAGCGTCATCTTTACATACAATAGACGACGGTTTTTTCGATTTTTTATAAAAAGCTTCATCTTTACATATAATAGACGACGGTTTTATAAAATCGTCATCTTTACATATAATAGACGACGGTTTTAAAAAAAATCGTCATCTTTACACATAATAGACGACGGTTTTTAAAAAAATAGTCATCTTTACATATAATAGACGACGGTTTTATAAAATCGTCGTCTTTACATATAATAGACGACGGTTTTATAAAATCGTCATCTTTACATATAATAGACGACGGTTTTTATAAAAATCATTATCTTTACACATAATAGACGACGGTTTTTATAAAAATTGTCATCTTTACATATAATAGACGACGTTTTTTTTTATTTTTATAAAAAGCGTCATCTTTACATATAGTATGACGTATGATAACAAAATCAAAGAAATAAATTGATAAAAAAAATTCGTATTAAGACGACGGTTTAAATATAAGGTATGACGTATAAAGGGAATAAATACGACGTTAAATTTTATAATACGTCGTTAAATGAAAAACAAACGTGGTGAGATTTAAAGATACCGTCGTAGAACTATACAAGAAAGACGTCGATATATTTTTATTTTCCGTCGTTGTACATTAATTTAATACGGCGATATTTTGTATTTTACCGCCGTGGATTTATTTGTAATTATATGGCGCCTTATACGAAAACTTGGTCGTGTTATTTTCTGCGTAAAAACGGCGGCTTTTTTTGAAATCGTCGTCTTTACTTTCTACGTCGGTCGATTCATAACTTCTGCCGTTCTTTATTTGCTTTGATTTTACACTGCGGAAATCCTGTTTCAAATAGACGTCGGTTTTTTAATTAGGTACGTCGTTGTTTATGAACAACCATTTGAATCTCCATTTTTTAGGTGTCTAAGGTGTTATTACACTGCGGTTTTATAGAACCGTCGTCTTTTAAAAAACAACGACGGTTTTCACTTAGACCGTCTTTTTTTTCTGGTCGTCTTTGTCACTTTTTGTAGTAGTGCGTGCTATAGAATATTTCTTTTCCTATTGTAATTTAGATTCCTAGAATAGCTTAGCATCATTATAGGAAATCTCTTGTATAAAGTTACACCCTCTGACTCAATGAAAATCATTCAGGCAAATATCTTTTTTCCCTATTTTACATGGTATCAGAGTAGGAAGACAAACCCTAGCTCTCTCTTTTTTTGCCGTCTCAATTTTTCTTTTCTCTGCCATTGCTCCTCATCATGGAGCGCGAGCAATTTCTCTCTGATCTACAGTTTCAACAGATATTATCTATTATAAACAATAAAGGGGCAAATCAATCCTCCAATCCTAAGGCCAATGCTGCTGGTACTTCTTCAAGTTTGTCACAAGCACCGTTGCGCCTCCGTCGATTAATCCTCGATAGTGGTGCAACCGATCATATTACTTCTTCTCCAAATTTGCTTGTCAACAGTCGTCAGAACACTATTTTACCGCCAGTTATTATGCCCAGTGGAGAACAGGCTCCAATCACATCTACTGGAACTTTACCTTTGAACTCTGTTATTTCTCTGAAAAATGTGCTTGGTGTGCCATCTTTCAAGGTGGATTTGATGTCTGTGAGTCAAGTTA